GCATCAAATGTTTAAATAGATTAAATAAAAACATGACAAATTTTCACAAATGGTTCTTATGATTATGATTTTTCCCCAAAATAGTCATTATGAACCTTTTTTTTTTGCCTGAATGATCCCTTTGGACATAACCTTGCACTCTAGTGGTCCTTTTGATGGATGTCTGTTAGATAGAGCTGTTAAGTTGAAGAAATATTTTTTGCTATATTGTGAAACTTCGCCTAAAGACCATTTGTGACATTTTAAAAAAATTCTTTTAAATCTTGTATTAATTACCATAAATCAAATAAAAACAGAAAAAACTAAAACATAAAAATTGTAATATCGTATGGTTTTCTGGCAATCTAAACACATGAATAAAATTCATGTGTTCATGCACCCTAATAAGACCTAGGTTTCATTCTAGTTATAGCAACCTACTTATAAAACAAAAAGAATTACATACCTTTTGATCTTTTTGAAATTCCTTGATTGTGATCTTGTAACAACCACCTTAACTTTGGTGAAGAGGACCCAAACCATAATTCTTCTTTTAGTTCACAACCAAGAACACCAAGAGCAGATTAAAGAAAACTAGGAGAAATGATTGATTTCAACAAACCCTAGAAGGAGTTTGGAAATCGTCCACAAGGAGGCAGAAAGGGAATTGGCGAAAATTCTAGCCAAGGGAATGAGCAATTAGGGTGTGATCCCTATCGCCCTATTTATAGGTCTTAGATGCTTACCCCAAAAGCATCTCCAATCCCACATTGGATAACTGTAATTTTCGAAATCTTCCTTATCCCTTAGGGATTATGGATTATTCCATTTAGTTAACTTTTAACTAATTAATATTTAAACCCTTGAATTAATTGATTCCAAAATAGTTTATAATTAATTTATCTAACCTTGACAAATTAATAAACTAATTTCTCCTAAATTCTTTTAATCCCTTGAATTATTGATGGGTTTTCTATGCATTTATACACAAATTTTTTGCAACGTAAACATTTAATAATAAACCTAAATGTACATGCACCCTAGATCTAGGTTTTACTATTATAGAAACCTACTTTCAAAACTATGAATTTGAACTAACAAAAGGGAGAATATTACTAACCTTTAAAGTATAATCATATATGTTAGTGAGTAGGGTATAGGCCCAAGTCCTTTAGAGTTTATATTAGGTCTCTTATGTAACCTTATTTATATGAGGTTTAACCTCACTATTTATGAATGAAACAATCTATTATCTTACATGGTATCAGAGCTCTAGGTTAAAACCTTACTTCTGACCACAACTCATAGCCGCCGCCCTACACCTCCAACGACCTTCTCTAATAGTCGTTGGAGGTGCCGTCATTATGTTCCTTATTTTTCTGTTTCTACTCTTCTACGTTTTTCAGTTATAAAGCGTGTGCAAGCTTGTTTCTATTCTACTTCTACTCCAATTCTTGTTCTATTTGATTGTTTGATTGTTTGATCACTGGTAAGATCCGTTTTCAGGACCTTACACTTCTCCGCCTAAATAATAAAACAGTCGGATGACACCAAACCAGACCCTGTTATCGGCTTCTTCTACTGCCTCATCTACTTCTGCCTCCACACCTTCCGCCTCCTCCTCGACCAACCACTTCTTCAGATCTCTTTTCCGATTCAGCCCCTTCTGATGTTGCGGCTGCCTCTCTCCGACGCCACCTTCTCTGTCGGGCAGCCTCCGATATGTAGTCGTTTCTTTCTCTATCAACATTGTAGTCGCCGATCTCGCCGGTATTGGCTCCGTTCGCTGCAGCTCGAGCCCTCTTTCTTTCTCGATGCCTTTCTCCGGATCCCTCTGTTACCGGTTGCATGATCGTTATCGGCGCCGCCGCTCCTCTCTTCTTATACAAAGGAACTGCTGTTGGCCGTTGCTTCTTCTCTCTCCTTCTCCGACAAGCAATTGTTAGACGTCATCGTTATAGCTCTGCCACCGCCGTTGCCGCTGTCTTCATTTATGTTATGTTTTATGTTTTTTTTCTAGTTTAATCGTCCCCTCCCGATCAAACTGTGGGGGAATGTTAGTGATTAGGGTATAGGCCCAATTCCTTTAGAGTTTATATTAGGTCTCTTATGTAACCTTATTTATATGAGGTTTAACCTCACTATTTATGAATGAAACAATCTATTATCTTACAATATATACGTGTGATTCCTTTGAAGATCATGAATTCCTTGCAATCACTTTGAAGGACTAGCACCCAAAGTAGAATGTATCCAATGGCTCACAACCAAAAGTCTACAACCTTATAAAATTAAGGAGAAAGGAAAGAAGACTATAAAAACTGAATTCTCACTCTCGAAAAGGTTAGGAACAAAATTGTGAAGGTTCTAATGGTCTATTTATAGGTGGGGTAACTTGTAGATAAAGCTGATTTGAATCAATTAAATTATTTTCTAGCTATTTTAGCTCTTGAGGGAAAACCCAAAAATGATGTTGTCATTATTTCTAAAGTTATACTAATTTAGTGGCATTGGACACCTATTTCCATCAATTATAAAAAAAAATGTTATTATAAAAATAATAGTATGTTGCTATTTTTTTTAAATATAAGTATGCAGTTTTGAGTTAAAGGTAAAAATATGTTTCGGTTTCGGTTTCGTAATATAAGTTTGGAAATGTTATATTAGTTCCATATAAAATTTTGATATTTTATTATAAAAATCTATTTAGTTTTATCCAAATTTGAATATATTCCTTAATAAAGGCATAAACTTTTCAAAGCAAAGTTAAAAAAAAAAAAAAAACTAAAAAAAAAAAAAAACAATTCATGTTAGCTAGTAATCAACCATGCTGCTACACATATTAAAATTATCATTCATATGAATAATATGGCATTATTTTCATTCAATTCTTTTTTAAAGTTTTTTTTAAAAGAAAAATAAAAATATTTTATATGTTTAAAAAGGTTAATGCTTTAGAAATAGTATTATATTTTCTATGTTTTAGTCTTTGTGCTTTTTTTATTTGGTTTATGATAATTACTAATTAATACAAGATTTAATAGACTTTTTTAAAAATTTAGGTCCTTAGGCAAAATTTCATGAAATGGTTGAAATAGTCCTTATCTAAAATTCATTCAATTTAACGGATCCATCTAAATGACATCCATCAGAAATACCACTTGAAGTGCAATTTTGGTACAAAGAGACCATCCATGCAAAAAAAAAGTTTAATAAGGACTATTTTGGGAAAAAAATCATCAACATAAAGACCATTTGTGAAATTGTCTAAAAACAAATATAGATTTAGACAAAAGTACATAAATGGTCCCTATGACAGAAAAACCAAATGTGACATTTCACGTAGAATTTAACTGAAAAAGTTAACACCTTTAAGCATTAGCCAAAAGGATTGTCGCCATAAAAAACAATATTTTAAAGAGACCATCTATACAAAAAACTTCGTGAAAAGAACTAGAGTTGGTTGAACTTGTAACCACAATGACCATTTATGTAAAATTTTCTAATCTCTTTATTCTAATAAAAGAATAAGTTTATTCTCATTTTGTCATGTGTCACCCTATTAGGTCTCCTAATTAATACCATGTCACTTATCAACCTATTGATTCTCCATTTTAAATTTTCACTCTAATTACATTAAACTAATAACATTAGAATAAAAAATAAAATAAAATTAATATAGATTATAAGGTCACGTATTTATTTAAATTAACGATTCTAATTTTATATAACTAAACAAATACCTCTGAATTAGTAATTCATTTAAAATAATTAATTAATAATTTTGAGTTTTTACTATAAAAATTTAATTAATTTTGTAACCGCGGTTTTCACGGGTTATAAACTAGTCTTTAATATACTAACTTACAAACATAGTCCACGTTTGCTTAAAATAATATGGTTGATTTAGTTTTTGAAATGTTTCTGAAGTTTTTCATAATGCATTTATTGTGAATTTAATCATGTGTTTTACTTAAAATTTCAAGATTTGTCTTATGATCAAACTTTCAAAAATTGGATCAAACTTAGAGCATCTCCAACTCACTCTCATTTTCCATTTTTCCCCTATTGTTTCCCTCATTCTACTCCGACCGTCTCTCATTTATTCCGCCATTTTGGGGGATATGAATAGTATTACACAAAATATGGTGTTATACTATTCATTTCTCCCAAAATGGGGATGAACTTTGCGTTGTCGCTTTTAGTCTCTCTGTTTATATAGTTATACATTTCTAGTTTATTTTTATCTACTAATTATAATTTAAATGTAATATTTAATACTTATAATATTTTGTTATGCATTAAATTATATTAATTAATTATAAATATAAAGTTTGTTTTCTGTTCATCAAATTCATATAAAAAGTTAAATACATATTGAAATTTTAAAAAACGATAACATATTTTACAAAAGTTTATAAGTATGTTATAAATATAATCTTATTTATTTAATATTATTGTAATGAAAAAAATATATAGATTATATATTTGTTAAAACCAAATTAATAGAAGGGGATGTGTTTGATAATATATGTAAGTTAGAATAATGAAATATACTAGAAATATATTTTTTAGGGTAAAACATGAGATAAAAAATGGAGTAGGGTTGAAGATTAAAACACTATTTATCCCATTTTTTACTACATTTTTAGCGAAAAAATGAAAATGAATTAAAAATGGTCTTAAGGTAATGCATAAAGGCCGATTTTGTAATTTACTATTTCTAAAGCCGTGGGATGCACTATTGCAATAAAAAGAGAACGCATATGTTGAAAATTGAGAATAAACCGATTTAATACTTGTGTAGGTTGACTATTGAGACTAAACCAATTTAAGACTTATATATTTCATCGTTAGAGGCACTAAATCCACGACACACAAACTTAAGAACGAATTCCGGAAAGTTTCAAAAACCGGATAAAAATTAAGATTTTGAGTAAAACATAAGGGCTAAATTTGTAATTTACTCTTTCTAAAACGTGGGATGCACTTTTGCAATAGGAAAATATCATAATCATAAATCATAAAAATTGAGAATAAACCAATTTGGTGTTCATTTACATACACATTTCAAATCCTTACAATTGTCACAATAAGAAATATTCAAACAATCAAGATATAAAATACATAGGATTCGATAGCTTAAATGATCTAACAGATAAAGCTGAACCTATTAAGTCACTCCATTGATCACCCGAGTTTCCAATAATCCGAAACCCCTCTTCCATAATCTCCTTCCTCTTATCAGATTTAAATGCAACCGCAGTTTTTCCATGATCTTCATTTCCTCTGTAAAAAAAAAATCAAAAACTAATTTAACAAATAAATACATAAGAAATTGTTAAATTTTGAACATTTACCTCAAAATGAGTCTTTCCCAGTTATGAAATCCAGCCTCGATCAAATTATTAACAGTAATATTCCTTTTGTTCTCCGTACGTCCCGTTAACAAAAATATTTTAAACCCTAATCTTAAAACCTCCTTATAAAGCTTCAAACTTGGTTCAATTGTTGGTGCCACTCCTTCAAGAACCCATTTGTCAAATTGACTATGGTCGAAAATCTCCAATCTGTAACATCCATGATGTAAAGTTAATATTAGGAAGTAGGGTATTAGGGTTTATTGAAATTTGTATCATTGTAATAAAGTAAATTCCTAAATCAAAACCACATTGGATCACCAATCAAAACCCTCACATTGAAATGAAATGAGATTCAAAACCCATAAGTTAAAATTTACGAATCCCATCGTTTAATTGAAATCGAATCAAAACAGAGAATCAGAGATGGATAGAAAGCATACCCGTAGCCATGTTCAGCATAATAAGGTAAATTAGAAAGCAAAGTTTCGTCAATATCGAAAATCCAAGCATCCATTCGATCTCCTTTCAAATCAATACTCTTCGCGAATCGTGCTGCTTCATTAGACACCATTTGGAGATCAATCTCGTACGATCGACCCAACATATAGTCCTTCACGTAATCGATACATTCCTCCGGGATCGTTTTCCATGGACTCAGATTATTCGCCTCCCCCGCGACTCTCCAACCCGTACACCGTAATCGAGTTTCTTCGATCGAGCTATCGCATCGAGGTTCCACGTTTTGTGGAAGTTCGATAATCAAAGGTCGTGGAAACAGGTGAGGATCTGTGTCAGAATGCTCTTGACAGAAAGCTACTGAAAGAAGTCCCAAAAATAGGAAATTTCTGAAGAAACTCATGTTAATGAAATCAAATTAACAGGAAATATTGATGATTGATGATGAATCGGGTTTTTTTTTAAAAAATTATTTGAGTTCAATTGGAAGATGGATTGCTCGCTAAGAAAGGGAAATTGATTCTTTGTTTGTAACAGTAAAGACTTGGCCAGGAGAATATGAATGGGCATGCTAAACGTATATTCCATATATACGCGTATTTGGTTTTATCTATAATTATACTTTAGCCCCCCTAACGTTTGATTTATTGTACTTTGAGCCTTTTTTTTTTCATGGGACTTTTCTTATTTTCTACAACAAAACTTATGTAAAGTAAATAAAAATATAAAATCAGAATCTAATTGCGGTTTTTGTCAATGTTTTAAAAACCTATCGAACCAAGACGATGGGAAATGAGCGGTTCAATTGTCATTGTTTTATGTCAATTTTTAGACCATATCAAACCAGACAGTATCTTCAAAATCCGAGTTGAAACGGTATGATAGAACCGAAAAAAATTGTGTAAACTGGTTATGTGTTTTTTTTTATGTACTTGTATTGATATATAAGTTGTTGATATGTGTATTTTTAATGTTTGAACCTGTGAATGCCAATATTTTGGTTTTGTATATACATGTATATAGAAAAATAAACAATACATATAGTTTTTGGAAACCTAGTTGAACCGAGGGTCAAACCGGAAATCGGTCACCAAACCGGCTCAACTAAAAAACCAGTTTTTAAAACATTTGTTTTTCATATCAAAAAATTTGACGGTATGAGTATTGTTCATTAATGTAACGATTTGGACTCTATCATCTAATCTAATAGGATTATTAAAGTTATTACTAAAAAAATTGTGGAATTCTATTAACTCATAAAAATAAAAATAAAAATTATATCCCAGGAACAGTCATGGGTGTACAATGAAACTTTCATACAAATTAGGACAACAAGGGAATAAAACCTATTCTAGGTCCTTGTGCTCCTGTCTTCACTTATGGTACCGCAGCTGCTACTACCTGAACCTACAAAACAGAAACACATATGAAGTATCAGACATAAAGTGTTTGGTGAGTAATATTCTTATCTATCTTCACATTAATCTATTCTTCCTCTAATATTTTCTTCTTCTTTTCTATCTCAGACTCCGCATTCTAATATGTTCCTCTTACTCTTCTCTTAGCCTCTTAACAGGCTATACTTATACTCTATACATTCTATATTTCTGTCTCTTTATCTATCTCTACTCACAGCCTCTTAACAGGCTCTTTTCATTATCTACTATTTCTCTTCTCTATTCTCATATATAGTGCCTCAGGACTTTGTTCTCATCTAGATTCAACGTTCACATCTCATACCATGTTCTAAGGGAAAACATTCCACTTTCATTATTGGGCATGCTCACCCAGTCTTACCCCTCTCTCTTATGATCCCTTGTGGATCCTTAATCCTTCTTCTTACCCTTGAATCCTGCACGAATTCCTTTCTCTTCACCCCTCACGAGTTACATCTAAGTTCTTACACAAAACTCTCTTATCTTGTCCCTCTCAATGAATCTTTCTCTATTTTTTGTAACCATACATACTCTGCATTCTCTCAAGAATCATCTATCTATATTCCCAAAGGGAAGCGTCTATCTCTTTTCCCTATAGGGATATAATCTTATTCCTGAAGAAAATCTTAATCTTTGTCCCCGAAGGACCATACTCTTATTCCCGAAGGAATCATCATCTTATTCCCGAAGGAATCATCATTTTGTCCCCGAAGGAACCTCTATCTCATTCCCGAAGGAATTATCGTCTTCTCCCTAAAGGAACATCTATCTTATTCCTGAAGGAATCATCATCTTGTCCTCGAAGGAACCTTCTATCTCTTGTTCCGGTAGGAACCATGCACTTGTCCCCAAAGGAACGTTCTATATTGTGTTCATGTAGGAGCCATACTCTTGTCCCGAAAGGAACCTTTTATATCTTCTTCCCGTAGGAACCATACTCTTGTTCACGAAGGAACCATATTCTCGTCCCCGAAGGAACCATAATCTTGTCCCCGAAGAAATATATATCCCTATGTCTCATCAAGAGACTTTCTAATCTTTCTCATCTAGTACTTAACTCATTAAGTACTTAATCTTATCCATGTCTAGTATCATATAGAATTCTACACAATACTAATGATAGTTGGATATGCATATCTACTCTTATGATTACATGGAATGTAATCATCTTATATCTTTTCCTTTTATCTCTTAGGTATACGTGGACACCCTTCTTATCATCTATCCTTACATTGGATTTGATTACATATAATCCTATTATTTCATCATCTATTCTTAGGGTATACCTTACGATACCCATATTCTTTCTTTATACAACTCTGTGTACTTTAGTTATACACACAAATACATGATCTTAAGCGTGTAACCCCAAGTACCTAATATTTATTTGGATTTTAACATGACATATACATATAACATACATACATGCATATAAATACGTATAACATAATTAAAGGAGAGGGTGAGAGATATAGTGGGGACTAACTATCCTTTCTTCTCTTCTTCGCCATTGATTTATTATGGATCCATCGCCTACTCTTGGGCCTATTCATACACATATATAAGCTTCTCAATATATGTATTAGCTCATTAAGAGCTTAATGTATCTTAAGGTTAAAATGACCACTTAATGGATCATAATTCTATATTTTCATAATCTAACTCTTTCTCTCATCCAATTAATGAATTAAGCATCCCATAATACCTAATTCATCATAATCTAACTCTGATCCATCAATTAAACATAATCACTAATTAGGGTTTCAAACCCTAACTCTCATTGGATTGATCCTACTTATGGGGCCACAGACCAAGCTTGCTTAAGGCATCTAAATATGTTCTCTATCACTACTAACAAGCTTTCATAACTTAATTTTACTCTATTACCTCAATTCATCAAATCATAATTTATCCCTAAATAGCTTAAGCATGAAGAAGATGATTACCACTTGTGCATTCCACCTTCAATCCAAGCCACCAACACCCATCATTGCCGATTGATCGTCTCTCTTTCTCGAAATTGATGGAGCTCAGCTCTTATGTCTTGGGGGTGTCAATTGGAGAGGATGAAGGGCTTAACATACTTAAGTTATGTCTCCTTTCCATGCCGTAGAGACATAAAATGCTTTCCGCGCTGCGACATACACTTTCTGCGCTGCGGAAACTGCTTGACAACTGTTACCTTAGCTGATTCCATTCCAGTCGTGGGACATTTTTGTCCCAACTTTTAACGCTCATATCTTATTTGTTTCTTACCCGTTTTCGATGTTCTTTATATCCACATGAAGGTGGGAACATGCTCTATACATCTATTAAGTCACTTCTCACTGACTTAATATGGGTATTAATCTATTAAGTTACAAACTTAGGCCAAAAAACATAAAATTCTCATTTTACCTATTTAACCAAAAATGCATCTTCTCATGCATTCTTTCTCTATAATATACTCATCTAACATATTATATGTGACTTAAACTCTTATTGGCCATTTCCATAAAGTTACAACTTCATTTTCTTATTTCTTTCTCATAAATGACCAAATTGCCCTTTTGGTCAATATTTGACTAAAAGTCAACCTTCTCAAAATTTCGGGTTCTTAAATTCTCCCTTTTTTTTAAAGGATTTCGTCCTCGGAATCTTTTCTTGCTCTATTGGTCATTTTCTTACTAAATGACACACTTCTAAGGTTACTTTCTTCTTTAACCTCTTAACCTGAAATAGCAATCTACTTTCTTATTCTTTGCATTTTCAATGCAATGGCCAATATTTTTCTATTTTTTACTCACAATTGTTGTTATGGGACATCAATTACTCTATATACTCTGATGCAATCTCATTTCATACTTATCATTATCTTTCATCTTTTTGTCCCATTTTTCACAACCATGTGCATAACTTACCATCTTTCATTATTTTCTCACAAGTGTACTCATACACTTCTTAAAAATCTTCTCTTAGGTAAGTTACTATTTATCTTACACTCTTACTATGCCTTTCTCATCTTTATAAGTGGTTACACTACCAATTTTCTATATCTTTCTCTAACTCTTTATGAAGTATTACATCTTCTTACTTCACTTTCTCTCTAACATGTGGTAATTTATTACGACTCTTTTCTCTATAATCTCTTGAAAGTTTGTGCAGTAAACTTTCACATCTATATAGTTTCTATTACCGAGACTTCACATCTATATACATGGTATATTCTTACAGATACCATGTGTATCTTTCTTGTCCCACCACTTGATCCTTAAGTAGCTTAATTGAATTGTCATAAGTGCAATGTGTATGCAGAGTGTAACATCCCAAAATTTCAAGGTAAAAATTTCATTTTTAATATAATCAAAACACCCAATTATCTTATACTCAAACATTTAGAAGTATTTCATAATAAAACGGTTATCAAAGTACAATCCCAAAATCACAAAGTTGTGGAAAAACATGGGTGTATGCACTGCGATCAAGCCGGGCCCTTCCCTTTCGAACCGACAGTACCTGAAACCATAACAATAAGCTTAGTGAGTTCCCAAAATAACACATACCATACATACAATAGAGAATGTTATGTGCCAACCATAGTCTTGCCATTATGCCAAGAGTCGTATCATGGTCTTTCCTTGCCAAGCCGGGGGCCAAAACCGTGAGTCTTATAGACAAGTGCCAAGAGCCACCTCCTGGTCTTCCATGCAAGCATCACAAAGACAACAAGCATACAATCTGCAACTAACAATCTACTTAACTGCCAGGGTCCGAACCCTAGTCTTGCATACAAATCTTCCAAGAGCCACCTCCGGGTCTTACATACAGTGTCAAGGGCCACCCCTAGGTCTTCTAATAATACATAAGCCAATGGGCCATCATTGGTGCCTTCGACCTATATTACCGTGAGGAGACTCACCTCTGAATCTGAACAATAGCTGAATAGGTCTCGGCTTCGAATATCAGTTGTACCCGTCACCTATTCATCAAATAGTGACAAAATCCTTAGATACAAATCAAAATACCTCGAATACCCCCTTAGTTCAAACTTGGTCAAAGTCAAAAGTCAAATTCAATAGTCCATGTTGACCCAACACGTTGCCCTCGGCCACGCCGTGTTCCGCCAGCATCCAAACAGTCGGG